TGGTCCTCTTCGTTTGGACTCATCCTTCACTAAGCTTACAACTTGAATCAACCATTTGAACATACATTTCAAAGTCTTTTCTGCTCATAAAGAAAATGTTTTGAATTTTCTGGCGAACTCTTTGTCCCATTTGACCATTTGGATCTATATGGATCACCCGGTTTTATTTTATGTGTCATACTACCTCTGTCCCAAAATACTTAACAAAATCTTAAAATTTAAATCATGGTTTTGATTAGTATAATATTATAAAAGTTATAAATTTTATACTTTTATAAAAGTACTTTTAATAAAGAACATTTTCATATCATTTTATATTATAAATAATTTTCAATAATGTGGCCATATCTTCTTATTTTTGACAATACTTTTTTATCATATGACCTCATGATATACATAGAACAATGTGGTTTGTGTTACTTTCTTACTGGGAGGATCATCATATAACATAGGATCTCAGATATAATGGCACATTTGGGGTTAGGCAAGTATCAATGACTAAATGTTTGGAAATTTTATTATTTCAAATAAACAAAATATTTTGAACAAATCACTCTTGAGTAACCGAAAGGATAATTAACACTCTAATTAATTGGGTGGAGCCAAAGTAAAATTAGGAACAGATGTTTTCCATTACTTGCTCCTATTTATTAGGATCACCAACGGCCATATTCTTCCTTTTTATATGGAGCAATAATCCCTCATAAAATACACACACGCACACTTTGTCTTCTTGGAGAGAAAAGAAAGGAAAAACATCTTCACAAAAATGTTTTCATCAAAAAGCTTGTGCTCACTTTGTCTTCTTGGAGAGAAAAGAAAGGAAACACAATTTCACAAAAATGTTTTCATCAAAAAGCTTGTGCTTGATTATTATGATGTTGATTTCCCTCATAGTTCTGGTTCCGACTCATGGTCGAAGGGCTCGTTATATCCTGGGGGAAGATTTCCGTTCACCGGAAATACTTTCTGAGGCCGGCGTTTACGCGTCTCGAGCCACGTTGTTTCTTGTTATTCTCCTTTGCAGGTATGTTTATTATGGACTAGCCACATTACTGGAGTGCACAAGGTGCTGCCATTTGCCGGAGATAGAGGGAGAAGCTCTTCGCCGGAGTTATACGTGTCCGTCGGCTAGAACCGGACAGCCAGGAGCAAGTGACGATGAAGGAATATCTCCAACACTAAAATCACATTCTTTATATTTTTGGATATATTTACTTTAACATATCCGTTGCAGCGTTTAAGACTCCCAAGTCACCACTATATATATAATAGGTAGGAGCTTTTAATATCCACAAAATAGCCGCATATAGAGGTAAGAAATTTAGAGGGATGACACACACGGGTAGCTCAACGGTGACTGGGTGAGGTTGTTGGATTGAGCTCTCAGGTTCAATACCCGGCAGCGGCAATGTGAGAGTTTCATACAATGTAGTGACTCCTGCGCACCAGACTCTGAACCACCTCACTCAGAAACTGTTTTTAATTGAAGAAAATTAGAGCGATGTAAATGGTTGACAGAGTGAGCTCCTTCCAAATCTATTTTTTCAAACGTAACTCTTCCAAATCAACAACAAAATCGACATCAACATTCACCGGACCAAATTGGCTGCAAATAGGAGTTATTATCTTTGTCTAATCCTAGTGATACCGGGCTGCTCTTCGAGTTATCATCTCATCACCTCTAGAGCATTTCAGATCTTTGTCTAACATTACAATCCAAGCCTAACTATATTTTTAAAAATACTTAAGGTTGTTTCCTCCAAAAAGCCTATCGAAGATAATTTCTTCACGATATTCCTTACTTGTTAGAGCAACCGCAATGCGGTTGTCTTTAGTCTAGGTTTGCTTTGCCACGTCAATAAATTAGACACTATATACTTCTTTTTGCTTCCAAGGCATATAGTCTCTTGCTTAGTTGTCAAAAAAAAAAGTGCACACCGTGAAGGGTGAATTTCCGAGTGTGGAAAGGCATAGAAACTTGCTGACTCATCCGTTTTATTTATTGGGAAGGAAATAAAAACCCATATAACCTCCGTCTCTTTGCCAAAGATCAGATCTGGTTTCACATAGTTTTTAATTAATAACTTAAATAAACTTAAATAATACGAGTAACTTAAATAAACTAGTGAAGCAGTATTCAAATCTAACCTTAGCTATACATTACACTACGTGAGTGCGTGCCAATGATGTATCTATGTGTATTTGTTTATCTAATTCTTTATTTGGTTTGTAATATATATAGATAAGAGATCAAATACAAACAGTGCTTAAAATACTAAGCTACAAACTCCATAATATGCATCGCTTTGAACTTCAATATGCAGTAAAAATAATGTAAAGATGCAGGGGTGGGATTACAAACAAACTAGTCATCTCATTCAAATCATCTTTGCATTATTTGTATTGCACATTGAAGTTCAAAGTGTTTCATTTTATTCAAGCCATAAAATAGCAATTTCATGTTTACATTATTTGTATTGCATATTGAAATTCAAAGAGTGCATCTTTACATTATTTGTACTCCATATTAAAGTTCAAAGTATTGCAAATTATTGAGTTTGTAGGTTAGTAAGTTAAGCATGGTTTGTATGTGATCTCACCCCTATATATATATACAGGGAAGAGATCAAATAAAAAGAGTTTCTCCCGTGCAAAGTGCGAAAAATTACACTTTTTCTTCACCGCGTTGCACTTTTGCGTGTTTCTGTTGCACTTTTTCGCGATGGCAAAAAACTTCGTTTTAATTACGAAATTGCCACCGCATTTTTGATCAAATTTAGTTCACTTTTGGCTCATTTTGAACCATTAGATCTCAAAATGAACGCACGAGATTAACTCTCACTTTGCATGGGAAGACCTCTTTGTATTTGAACCCTCCCATATATATATATATATATATATATATATATATATATATATATATATATACACACACACACACACTCCTTGTAGCCTTGTACGTATATTAATCAATGAAGAAGAAGGATTTGTCATATATATATGTGTGTGTATACATATAGGTATTGTGTATATATATTGAGGTACGGTACGTATGTAAATTATACTCTGTATATCTGATGCACAGCAGAAATATGAAGATGAAATACATGGTAGGTTGTGGAGTATGTAGTTTATTGTAATTAATTAATAATATTCCACATGGGCCATTGATCGGGCCATAAGACTACATACATTGGAGGCTTTTTTCTATTTTATTGTCTAGTCATTACACTTTAATTAGAAAGCCTAATCATAACTTGACATTTGGCATAAATTATTTAGACTAGAAATCAGAGCATTGGGGATGCTCTTAGGAGTATTACATTCTGTTCTAATTCTGATGAAAGACCTTCCAAATTAATGTACTCCCTCCGTCCCACAATGGTTGGCCAATGTTGACTGGCACTACGAATAAGGAAAAACAATAAAATGCTTTGACTGGACTAGAATGCCCTTTAGAATGGCGAAAAGAAAGGAAAGGTGCAAGTATACGCAGTACAATCAAAAGTACCCGCACGGGTAGCTCAGTTGGTTCAGTGGTGAGAAATTTGGACCAAGTGATCAAGGTTCGAAACTCGCAGCGGCCGGGTGGAGGTCACTGAACCTGAAATAAGGTTGGGCCTCTGGTGGGCACGGGAAAAAGGCCTACCATCATTGGGCCGACTGAATCACCGTGATTAACATCCTCCCAAAAATCCTGTCGGGTCGGGGTATGGGGGGCTCCTGGGGTCAGTGGCGGATCTAGAAAATTTACTTATAGGGGGCATAAGTAGAGTAGTAGAGAAGAGATTTTTGTTAAGGGCACCAAAGGTTAGCCATTAGAATACAATATGCATATACATAGTATAATATACGATAGTACTAAAAAGTCGAATGTTTATATTAGAACACAACAAGTAATGGTTATACACAATTATTTGTGCAAGTACTTGTGTATTTACGCTTGCCAAAAATGAACAGTTAAGGAGGAGGAGGCCCCTCTAACCCGGCCCTTCTATGGCTTGAGCCGTGTAATCTCATAGAACTCAAACTTATAATTAATTTCAAGCACAACATTATTCCAAATCATCAATTCGCAAAACACATATTTTATGTGTGTAGTATTTTTTTTTAATATTATTCAGGTGAGAGATGCATTCATGCCCCCCATAATTATTAGTGAATGATAAAATTAGTTACATGAGATTCTTTATGCAATTTAGACATACTCTCGTTCCAAATACCGGTTAATTAGTCCCAAAATCACTAAAGTTTGGACAATTTTATGAGAAAGCAATGTTTAAATAACAGACCTAATTTAAAATATTAATTATTACATGAAATTTAATAATTAAATTTAAAAGTAGTTTTTATACTCCGTAGTAAATATGATCGAATAAATTAAGTAGACCATTAGAATTTAATTAATGGAATTTGACATTCTAAACTCTAAATAAAATAGACCAGTGAAAATCACTTCACTAAAACTATGATTTGAATAGCAATTTTATACAAATTGTGTTAGTTTTTATGACATCATCATTTTTTGGCCATATGTAAATAAAGATATCTTTTGGGACTAAGGCTTGGATGTTGTTGTTGTATGTAAATAAAGATATCTAAGTTGTGAAATACTAGCAATATTTTACATGACTAGATTTGGTAACCTATATAGTTGCGGTATGTAATTTACTTTTTATACCATTATTTATATGTATTAATTTTTTTACTTTATTGATTATCCAACCAAAAAGAAAAAAATACATTTAATAATGAATACATTTTGTATCTAACTTACTCATAATTGTACATTATTTTGACCAGTTCAATCGTAAACGAACACATACATTTAGAGCCGCATTAGTTTAACTCTTTTTAGGATGTCAAGAAAGTTATTGGGGGCAACTCAATCTTTTTATTGGGGACAAGCTATTTTCTAACAATTGTTTGCTTTATCATATATAAGAAATTAGAAACTTTATTGGGGACACATGCCCCCATTCTCCAAGCAATAGATTCGCCCCTGCCTGGGGTGGGAGATTCCACCTTTTTGACCAAGTACGATCAAAAGCAAATACTCCGAGTGCTTATGAACAGTACACATACATAGTGGAAAGCTAAAAGGCTGATTTGCCAGTAAATTAAAGTACACATCACTTCCTGAATTGCAACTTGGAGCCAAAAAGGAGGAAAATACGAGTACTTCATAAACCATTCCTTTGGTGGGTAAACAAAAAGCAACTTTAAAAGTTTTACTTTTCCCTCCATTACAACATCATAAATATAGAAGCTGCTGAATCAAAGACTACCCAACAAAATGAACATCAATGCTCATCCTCCACAGTCACCGGAAATCAATGATAATCCTCCTCTCTCACCTCTTTTGTCACCATGCACTGATTTGCAGCTATATATTCCAGCAGCTCATGAAACACAACAAAGAGACATTATTAGTGCTGTGACACAGAACCGAGGTAAATATCATGTCTTGAATTATGAGGAAAAAAACAATGAAGTGAATACCCTTTTAGCAAAATCTGTGAATGGGAAGCTTAAGGGGGGTGTAATACAAGCAGTGGCTAATGAATTTAATGTGTCACGGAGAACAATTTCTACCATTTGGCAGCGAGTGCAAACACAATTGAAAAATGGAGAAGAAATTGATGTCTCATCAAAGTTGAGGGGCAATGTAGGCAGAAAGAGAATTCAGTTAAATCTGGAGCAAATTAAAACCATCCCTATTTATAAGAGAAGCACCCTACGATCACTGGTAGTTGAACTACAATCTACTAAATCAACAGTTCATAGATATGTCAAGTTGAAGGAAATAAGGAGACATTCAAATGCTGTGAAGCCATTTTTAACTGAAAAAGGTAAACTAGTAAGAATCCAGTTCTGTTTACGCCATTTACTCCCTCATACAATTCCATCAAATCCCACATTTCATGATTTTTATGACTATGTGCAAATAGATGAAAATGGTTTAACTTAACTAAAGAAAATGAACATGTCTATATGCACCCGGAGGAATGTGACCCTTACAGGGCAGTTCAGAGTAAACGATTTATTCCTAAAGTGATGTTCTTAGCCGTAGTTGGGAGGCCTAGAATTGTTGAAAATGGAGAGATTTTGTGGGATGGGAAAATAGGGATTTTTCCCTTCACTTATAAAGATACCGCTAAGAGAAAAAGCAAAAATAGGGAAAAGTGAACTCTACTCACTAAGCCAATTGTGAGTATCACTAAAGATATAATGTATCAAATCGAAGGAATTACAATATTCTACATTGTCAAATTTTCAGGATGGTTGGTTCACCACTGGACCCCTTGGCTCCGCCCCTGCCTAGAGCAAGTTGCTTGTAATACGATCTACGACTCTATCTATTGAGTATGAGTAGTAACTACTTCGTACGTAGTATTTGATAAGAATTTCTCACTCTTTTCTTGGTGCGACCAAGGTTGGCTTTCCTGATTCATCTATCCAAAGCACTTAACACAATCCTGCAACGTATATTTAGTGTTAATAATAGAGTCTCAATTAGTGTTGTTCCCTCCGTTCCAAGTTCCAAATTGTTTTGTAAAGTCAACATTTTTTTGGTCAACCAATAATAAAAGTCAATCATCCCTATCGATAACTAACTCAATTTTTAATAGTTAAAATTTACATACTCAGAAACTACATCAAAATCTCTTCAAAGTTGCAAACTCCATATATTAGAATATAATTAAAAATTGACATTCTAATTAAGCAAATAAAATGAAACTATTTGACCAAGAAAAGTCAAATTTGCAAATCAATTTGAGACGAAGGTAATACTAATTACAATTACCGATCTAGTAGTATGTAGAAAACATGATGAACTTGTGGCCATACCAGTCGTAGCCGGTTGGAGTCGATTTCCTCCTTGCCAACTTGTGATTCCCACGAGGCGTAGAAGCTAAAAACGGAGTATTATGTTAGGCACATTTATGGGAGAATTTCCAAAACTAAACATATTTTGGAAATCCAAAATAAGACTCCTATGTTTTTCTCTCGAGATAAGAGACAATATTTATTGTTATCTTCTAATCACTACTACCAAATAGTTGCAGTAGAAGACATTCAACATGACAATATTCACTATAATCAATATATATATGTAGAAAAGATGATAATTCGGCAAAGCTGTCGATCGATCCGGGCTGCAGGGTCCTGAATCATTCCTGGGCAGGTCCCCTGAGTGTGCTGAAGAAAAGTCGGCAAATGGCCGCCTCCAATGCTCCCAATAGCATAAGCCCCCCTTGGTAACTCCTCAAGTGCCCGTGGGGATCTCCCGCCCAGTCATATATCTAACCGGTCGGCGGTTTGGCATCCATGTGGATTTCAGCCTGCTTTATTTCCAGGGTAAAGGGGGAAATGATCCCAACCCGCATCGGGGTAGGTTGTAGAGGCGTCCTGTTCATTTGGTCCCTCATTCCATTCATCTGCCTCCTCATTTCGGCCATCTCTTCCTCCTGGGCCGTTAGGGGAGACGGTGGTGGAGTTCCCAGGTTAACAAACTCCCGATTTCCTTCTGGCGGGGTTGTTCTCTGATTCTGACGTCCCTGTCTGAATCGCGTATTGTCACGTTCTCCAGAATAGAAATGGCGACCAATCGGCGTATCTCCACTGGCCCAGGACCCGGTCGGGGTGTGGTCACTAGGAGTGTACTGCCTGCCCCCGGACGCATGAGTTCTTCTACGCTCTCCCCGATGGGCTCGTGAATGATTTGATGTTGTGGTTGTTTCTGCATCGGTGGTATCATCATCGAATGACTGCATCGTAGATGGGGTTGTGTACTTAGTTTCCCCCGTATAGCTGGATCGTCCCCCATCTTGCTCATCTGCCAGGTGTTGCATGACCTGAGCTAAATCTCGCATGGCATGGGGGTTCCTCCTCAGAGCTTCGGGAATGAAGAAATCCCGATCAAAGTGTGGGTAGGATCCCCGGCTGGATTGCCCTTGGGGGGTCCGGCTTTCCCCACGTCTTCCTGAAGTTTCACCGGTGTGATGAGAAGTGATGAGAAGTGATTCTAACCATTTTGGAATTAGTTTGATGTTTTGGTGTGAAATATTTTTGTTCAATTTCCCACAGACGACGCCAATTTTGAGGTTTAGTCTCGCAGATTCGAAAGCCCAACACGAACTTTGGATGTATTAGAAAAATGGGTCTAGAATCACGTGTATAAAGAAATATAAAAGGTGAATAATTGAATACTCAAAAGCCCACTTGTATTAAGTAATTTGATGATTACACAGTAAACTTTCCGAAAAGTACGTCGGAATAGTGACTAATACAAGAAATAAGAGAGATAAATCTATTCTAGGCTTTGAATATCCAGAAGCTAACCATTCACAATGAAATTAATCCTTCTATTTATACTAATAGAGGATATGGGGTGCTTCATGCTAATTGATTGCTAATCCAGCCACTTTAAGTCCATACTCTCACTTGGTGCCGCCATACTTTAGCAATAAATGCTCTCTGCCACTTGTTGGCTACCCGCTGCCCGAACGGGTAGTGGGCCCATCTGGAATCATCATTGATCTTCTCCATGATTTCTCCATGACCCGAACCCCGTTCGGTACATATTTCTCCATGAGCCTGTTCATCTTCTGAATTCTGGTCTCGTTTAACGGACCGGATATATAATGGAACTTTAATTTAAACACAAATAATCACTATAGCGATTTGGGTATTGTATTATCAAATCGACTCCTAATTCTATTTATAAAAAAAATCTGACGGAGGGCTTCCTAATACGTTTGAATGCCTGATTCTTGTTCTAGAAGTCACGGGAAGAACCGTAGTAGCTCATCGAACATTCTGATATGTTCTTTTATCTGTCAATAAATCCCATCTTCTGTGCATTCTCAAACTCAAACCAATTTATCTTCTAGTTCTGGTGACCACGTTTTCCGATTGTAGTACTATTCAGTAACCTGCAAATCTCTCATTCCATATCATCGCCGGCGTTTATCGAAGATGAGCACGGTTGTGGACGCGATATCTCAACTCCTCAACATCCCCGGAGCACTCGACAGAATGATATCGCAGGAGGGCGGCGAGAACAGGGGAGCGGGCAACATTCCGGCCGACATTCTCGAAACCCCGAAGGAATACATTTTCCACCTCGATGTTCCCGGCTTATCCAAATCTGACATTCAGGTACGCGCTGTTTCGCTATGATGTTTGGTAAGAGTTGCAATACTAGTGAATTAGGTTATCTGAGAAGTAATTGATGCTGGAATTCAGGTGGCCGTGGAAGGTGAAAACACGCTGGTGGTAAAAAGCAGCGGAAAAAGGAAGCGAGGGGATGGGAGTGAGGAAGAAGGATGCAAGTATCTGAGGCTGGAGAGGAAGAAGACTCCGCAGAAGGTGATGAGGAAGTTCAGGTTGCCGGAGAATTGCAACGTGTCGGCCATCACCGCGAAGTGCGAGAACGGGGTGTTGACGGTGGTGGTGGAGAAGCTTCCTCCTCAGCCCAAGTCCAAGACGATTGAGGTTTCAATTTCCTGAGTAGGCTGCTAGTTAGTTTTGTTCCTGTTTCGCTGCAGATGGAAATTACTAAGATGGATCAGCAAATTTGTCTCTGTTTCAGTTCCAGTGTTACAGATTTTGTGGAAGCTAAGATAATAATGAGTAGTATGTTGGTTGGCTCAATAGTCCTCCAAAAGTCCTTTCTTCTCCTTTACGATTTAAGATCCGCTTGTTTCCACAGCAATTTAAGTTTTTTTCAGATTCAGTGTGGTGGATATCATTTTGGAACGACTGTTTTTTGAGAAACTGGTCCGGGTTGATCCCGGATAAGCTTTGACTTTTGAGAAGCTGAAATTCTTATTTTGAAGAATATTCAAATTAGGAGTTCTGGAATATGAAATTGAAAACGAATTTGAGATTGGTGAAGTAGAGGGACCGGAAGATAGCCATCGACATCACCAACAAAATTAAACGAAATGTATAAAGAACGATTCAAATTGACTTCACACGTATTAGAAAATGAATTTGACTTTACCGTGGAGTGCACTGTTTGATACTGTTTTACACTGTTTTACACTGTTTTGTTTTCTAAAATGGAAGTGTGAACTTAAATAAGGGACAAAACTAAGCCGAGGCCAATGCGTGGAATTTTAATAAGAACCGGAGGGACTGAAACCCCGGAGTTCCAATGCGTGGTCGCGTGGAGGGTGCTATAAACGAGGATGGCTAGACAAAGTTGGACTAGAAAACTAAGCCGAGGCCGATGAAAAAGGTGAAGCGTACTGAAGGATGATACATTGTACTCATTTCTGAGGGGCACCGATGGAGCAAGAAAAAATGATAGGGGTCGAAAATCAACTAGTTACAAAATAAGACTGCCGATAGATGATCGTAGGCAGGGACGGATTCAGAATTTCACTAGTGTAAGACTCTGCGGCTATTTTTATTCAAAAAAAAATCATTAATACATACATGACATTTAAATCTATATATTACATTTTGAGAAAATAACTTTAATTTATAATTGGAGTGCTCTAGAAAAAAGTATTGATACATTAAAGCATAAGAAATGACAAATCAATGGAAAATAATACAAAAATAAAAAAAGGATATATAAGTTTTATTTAAATATAAAGAGTTCATAAGGTACTCATTCATCAGTACTTTTAAAATAACTTCAACATTGTTTAACTACATGAGTCTTATAGAAATAAAGAATGTATTTCTGAATTACAATTTTTGTCAACCATGAAGGGTGTTCATAAGTCACAAGCAGTTCTTTTAATATTACAATAGTATGTATGATATTATTATTTTTAGAATAATATTATATTGCTAATTCATATATATAGTGCATTTTATATTTGTATTAATGCTAAAATAATTAAAGTTTATTATCTATGCAATAAAGGCTTTTTAGAACGTAAGAAATAAATAAATAATGTAATTCAATGTCAATAAAGATTTATAATTTCGATTCACTTCACATGATCTAAAAACTTTGTAGCTAGAGTGTCTGGTATTTAATATCGTTTGATATATATTTTTCAAAATTGTTAACTAGTTATCGTAAAGATAAATAAGCATTACAAAACTAAGAATTTTTATATACTATCCTCCGGATCGCATTAATTGCAACATTGGAATATATACACTATTCATGTACTTTACTTTAACTACATTTTATTTATTGATGTAAGTGAATTTTTTTTTTAAAATATTGTTAAATTCGTCTCATTACTAAGTTTTATAATATGATTTTTATTTTATTTTTACTAATACAGAATTAAATATAATGATGGTCAAAGTTGTGCGTTGGAAAACGTGAAATGTTGCCCATTGCAACTAAAAGAGACGGGGAAGTAATAAGTATCCTATATCTCAAATAATGAGTTCTTCTATTGTTTATTTAAGTTATGTAAATTATTTTAGATGTTTCTTTTATAAATCTCTAATTAAGTATTAAATTATGTAAGACTATATATTAATTTTAAAAACTAAAAGTTAAGGGGGGCAATGTTCAACAAAAAGTTAAGGGGGCGAATCTAATTAAAGTATCAAAATTTTACAAAAACATTACATATATAGTAGAAAATTTTGAAAGTCCAAGGGGGGCGGTCGCACCCCCCCCCCCCTTAAATCCATCCCTGATTGTAGGCAACGGTTGGAGTTCAATATTTTATAGCAACAATAATAGATTGTCTTTGCTTTGTTTTTGAGTATCTTACACAATTAATAAGTTAATCATACGTTATTTTTAAAATTTTGAAAAACATATTCATATTATGTATCAAGTTTTGTTGATTTTACATTTAGATAGTGTTGATAGTGTTGATTTTTCAGAAGTCGCAATTTAAAATTTGTTGATTTTACATTTAGATAATGTTGATTTTCCAGAAGTCGCAATTTTTTTTACCTGTAATGAGTTACGTGAGTCATAATATATCAAGTTGAAGATATTTTAGAGCTCTATACTCTCAACTTTTCAGTGAGGTTGGTTGATCACTCTAACCCCTGGCTCCACTCCTGTTGAGGGCACAACACTGATAATATATTTAATTGGAAGGATGTGAATTACATTTTAATCACAAACTCATAGAGAGTGATCAAAATGGTACGGTTAATAGTCGGTTCTAGTCCAAGTACTTGTAAAAGTCCTATACATTTTTTTACATAATAATTTTTAACTCTGTTGAGATTCAAACGAGACTTACTACAATGTAATACTCCCAATACTTACTACACTCCTTACCATTTGGTGAAGTGTACATGAAAACATGAGTCACAACTACATGAGTCCCAAGACCGGTTATAAGGCCTGCGACACCAATTTTAGATGGAGCTCCATTTTTTTTATATTTAGAATTCATTAGAACACAATTTGAGGGTCTTCTATTCCTATACTCCCTCTGTCCCTTTATATTTAGCCGAACATTATTTTTTAAGTAAAAGTTGTTCAACATTGAACGATTGTATATTTATACACCATAATATTAATAATATGAAAAATTATATGAAAATGTTATTTGTTAAAAAAAATATTATAAAAGTATAAATTTATTAAATTTCACATAAATGTATTAGTTAAAATAATGGATCAAAGTTTATCATTTTTGAATGAACAAGTCAAAGATGACTAAATATCGGCAGATCCCCCTATTAGCCGTTTAATTAATTCCAGACCTAACGGTATATTTATTTTACTACTTTATTGTTAGTAAGAATGATGCACAAAGTTTCACCTTTTTAAATGTAAAATATTGTACGTCTAATGTAACACCGACCCCGAACATATTTACTTTTAGTAAATTATGTAATAAACTTTGAAAGATGATTGATGAATTTGCGTAATTGTAAATTTTTATTATTTCTTTTACTTGAATAGTAAATTGCATGTGGGGCCCACAACGGGAATGTGGACCGCCCGATAATTCCCGAACCACATATTATATTCATCTTGGTCTAGATAATATGTATATAGTGGTAGATATCTTATTCGGGCCATAAGAAAGGCATGGCGTTGACCGGTTGGTCAAACGGGGCCCAATTACCGGTATTGGCAATTTAACGGATAACAGCCCGAAATGAGTTTCGGAGACTCCTAAAATTAATGTTGGGGAATATACATTTATTCTAAATGCCCATAATTATTGGGAACGCGTGATATATTTTATCCGGCCCGATAAAATAAAATATGACTAAAATAGTCCGAGAAATACAACTTTCGGGGCCGATTATGCACACCGGGACGTAATGGGATGACCTCCCACATGAGTGGGGGCCACCCCACGATTTTGTGTGATCTAATTGACACATTGGGAGCTGAGTGAGTCAAATAGACATGGGCTGTGCATGAAGGGATGGCTGGAGACAACCAACCACTCCCTTGGCCATACCTCTTCATTGTTTTTGACTTGGGTGAGGATAGATACCTCCCCCCTTCCATTTGACACCATTCACTCGACCAAAGCAGAGAGAGAAGCTCCAGGGAAGTCTCCTCTCCTAGTGCAAGCAGCAAGGAAGAGAATCCAAAGAGAAGAAGGTTGTTCTTGAGGTAAGAACTCAACAAACAATCTTGTAACTAGTTTTATGTGTATGATTTTTGAGAAATCATATGGTGGATTAAACCATGAGTTCTACACGTTTAAAAGTGTAGAATATTGTTATAAAGTGGTGTTAATTAACTTAGAAGAGTTGGTGAATCGATAGGAGTCGAAATCGCCGGAAACCGCCACATATAGGGAGCTGTTCGTAGTTGCAGACTACGAAAGCTGCCCAGCTTTCGTGAAAGCCGCCCGGCTTTGGCCCAGAAATCCAGCTTTTCACTTTCAATCGGCCTAGAACGGGGATTGATCGAGGGGCTTAACAAAGGCAACTATTGTAGCACATCACGAGGTGAGGATGTCTGACTATATTGCTTATAATCAGTGAATTAATTTCATAAGAATGCCTCAAGTAATTAGATGAGATTTTCATGGACTATTAAGGATTAATAATGTCTAGATGAAAATAATATGAATATGAGTAAGTGAAGCATGATATACAAATTTAGAATAATTGTGTATGATTATGTGAAATGAATGGAATGGCATGTTAATGGAATTACTAAGATGACATTGTGATAAAATATACTTTACTTCATGTATGAACTTCATGAATGGATTAAAGTGATATTTTGATATTGAGATTAAACTATACTTGGATTGAGAAATCAATGAAAATGAAATGCAATAGGGGAAATAGGAACTTGGCATGTTCTAAGGTTATCCAATTAGTATCAAAATACTAGTCGGGGAATTAATATAAATAAATGATGAAACAAATCCTAAGAGGTAGGATTGTGAATAGATATGCCTTAAGTAGTCTCAAGAGATACTTAAGGATGAATGGTATGAACATTGAGGAGTGATTAGGGGTAGGCCTAAAGGCCACCTCCGGAAATTGATTCTAGGCATAGGACTTGCTTGAGAACTTGATCGTGAAAATTATTAGAGTTGGACTCTAGGATGACATGGAGATGTAGTTGGGCCGAGCCCATGCCATGTAATATGATTAGCATGGAAACGTAGTTGGGCCGAGCCCTTGCCATGTATATGTGACCTCCGTGGAAACGTAGTTGGGCCGAGCCCTTGCCACGAAGTTATGGTTGGTATGGAAACGTAGTTGGGCCGAGCCCTTGCCATACAAATTTTGATATGATACATCGAGTTAGAGGATTGTATAGAGATGGAGTTGGGCCGAGCCCATGCTATACAATAGGGGCTCGATGGGACCCCACGGGGTTATCGCGACTCGCGGTCACGGGGGAATGAGAACGGTGAATTCTAAATGAATATGGGCCTACGGGCCGACTACTTAACTTTATGTAAAGTAAGTACAGTTAAAGGTAAAAAGGGGTAACCGAGGGTTATGGCCTATAATATAATAGTACCCTAAGTCGGGGGTCTTGGAAATTAAAACGTTGATTATACTTAGTATAGTTGCTATTGTACTTGTCAAATATTTCCAAGTACTGACCTCC